GCCAAATAAATGCAATAATCCCTACCATGAGATACGCAAGGCGGTACAAAAGTCCCATACATGCCTGACATTGTCCTTTCATAGAATATTATTATAGTCTTCATTAAAGAACTTAGTTTTATTATTTAATATCCAGTAAACTTCATCAACACAGGCCAGGTGAAGTGACGATTTTCGCAAGATGGCTGGCAGGAGCTGGATGCGAGAAGCCAAAAATCAATCTAAGTGGCGTACCATGGGAGAGGCTTATTTCCAGCAGTGGACTGCGATAGGCTGATGATGATGATGAAACTTCATCGTCATCATCATTCAAGGACGTACACGGTACATAGGTCTCATTATTACTTATTCATTATTAATTCAACTCCTTATTGGAATTTTCACTGTCTACATTACTATTTGTAAGATTACTATTTTATCCTATAACATAAGGGCCAAGCCTTTTACCATCCACGTGCACTATAATAATACATCTTAAATCGCTTTCAAGACTGAAACTGAGACTTTAATGATGAAATATCAAGCAGAAGGTCATGTTGATATCTTTTTCTTTATCTCAACAATGACTTAATCTTTTCAGTTACACAATAAGAAAGTAGGCAGACATTATTTGGGATCAGATGTTATCAGGTAAGAAAAATAATGATAAACTGTGTTCATTATTTAATTATTTTTGATACTAATTAGCTTTCGTTGGCAAGTCTTACATTGTAACTAGAATATTGTCAATAACCAATTTTGTTAGCTTTATTTTTTATTTATATAAAACTTAAATGTTATAAGAGTCAAACACACATTCTAACGGCTTGCATAAGAATTTTGTTCGTTTTATATTAAACAAATGTAATTTCAATAAAATAACATTTAAAGTTATGTTAAATTTATAATATTAAATTGAGTTTTAAAATTGAGCTATAATTTAGAATTACGAGTATTTCATCATTTTGTAACTAATAATAATAATATAATAATATTTTCACACATCTCACACACGGCCGCCTGATCCCAAACTAGGCAGAGCCTGTATGGTAACCAGACTGCTGATAAACATACTTATATATTTCTAAATACATACATATTATAGATAAATTACACCCAGACACAGAACAAATGACCGTGCTCATCACGCAATTATTTGTCCTGGGTAGGAATCGAACTCACGACCTCTGAAGAACCAACAGGCCAGTCGCTGTAAATGAATTTTATTGTAAACAGATTTCTTTACACGGAACTTGTCATTGAAAGCTACTATAAGGTTAGGTACTTTAAATTTACGATTTGTCTGAAATTGAAATTAAAACGGCGCGTTGGTTTTAAAAACAACTGTACAGTAAAAAGTATAAGTACAAACAATAGCTAGCAATAGCATTTACATTTTTTCAGTATGTATTGTATCACTACCAACTCGAGACTCAAATATTAACTGTTCAGTGATAAAGGCCACCAACGTCATGTTTCCTTTAGAGTCTAAAGTTTAGACAATACTACACTACAGTATAAGTACGCACACTAAGGCTTACCATTATTCAGTATTATAGCGTCCTCTAGCTTGTAACTCCAAAATTAGGTGTGAAATGAAAGAAGCCAAATATGTCATGTTTCTTTAGGACTACAATAGATGGCAATACTTACTTGAGCGTTCTGAACGAACAATTCTTACTTTTACTATTTTAACAAACAATAACATTTTTATTTTGTTTTTGTTAGTTTCTATGTACCTTTCTGATTCGATGTTTTTTTTTAAGAAATGGTTGAATAGTTATGTTCCTCGATGTAAGTATGTACCTAGTCAATGATTTTTACTTTATATTAACGACGCCCGCGTTTTTCGAAAAATCTTACCTTAAGGGATTTATGGAATCTGAAATTTCATAGCTAGAAACAAAAGTATGTTTTAAATTATAATATGAGATACTGAATTTACGAAATATATTCTAATAAGATATTTTGTAAATTCATTGTTAAAATATTTTTACACAAATTCTTCTGAAAATTTATTCATTAATACAAAAAATATATAGGATTTGAAACTTAGTATGAAAGTATCGTAGTAATAAACTTACTAGTTTCCAGATACAAGGTAGAGTTAAAATTTTATTTTACGAAAAAGTAGTTTTCAGCTTTCTTTGTCTTCTATTTCAATAATAATTCTTCTAAAACGAACTAATTTGCATATTGAAATGCAGGTGCGTCCAAACTATTTCTCTTAAGGGAACCACCACACGCATTTGCTCCGTGAGTGACACCGTAGTACATTGCAATGTGAGTAATTTAGTGTAATGAGAGTAATTTGTAATATCTAATTTAAGTAAGTTAATAAATAATTTACATTTTAAATTATGTAGACATGTGTTTGTCTGTATTTGATGAAATTTAAACTGCTTCTTGAGGCGGACGAAGGGTTATTATTATATATTATACTAATACATTCACATCATCGTATTGTTAAGTAAGCTTCCCAGTCTTTTATGAACTTTTATAGTACTGTTGCATGATATGACATTAATAGAGATAACATATTACCTCAAGATCAAGGAGAAGAATGTCTCAAGAAGTTGGGTAAATTATGTAGGTAAGTTCTTTCTTTAATTTATCACCACATTTTTATGTTGTCTATCTTGTTTATGCACTACATTTCCACTTTCCTATCTTCATTTTGTTTAACTAAGTCATTAGCCAAGTTGACCAACAACACAATTGTTTTTGTTATGTATGTACTAATGTTCTGTAACTAATGTATTACGATATATGTAACTATATTGATTTTAGTAAGTACTAGCCTTGGATTTCATGTAATATAATAAAATAATAAGTTTATTGAAAAGAAGATTAGAGAAGACCAACCCATTTGTGTGTGTGTGTGAGACCCAATCATATATTTGATCAACATTAAATAAATATTAAGTTTTGAGTTTCGTCATAAGACAGATTCTGCAAATAGGCAGAAAGTTTACTTTTGCACTCCGCTTTACTAAGAGAGTATATGTTTTCTAAGTATATGTTAAGATTGGACCTAAAAATACCATACATGTTTTGATCAAGGATGTTCTTCAAGAGTATACGCGTACTGCATTAAAATTTGTTTCCCGGTGTTGTCTACAGATAATACTCAAATAATTTCCGAACAGTGAGGACTTTACAACATTGGTACAATAGGTTGGTGGGATATAGAATCGGTTTGAAAGTGTTTACTTGGAGAATACCTCTTCGTGCCATTTCTACACTCTTAATTATTGTTTTACGAGCACCACCCCAGGAAGAGATACAATAACTAATTATGGACTGACAAAGAGCCAAGTTTATCTGTTTCAGCAGTACCGACTCAATCAAATAACGTAATTTCTTGAAAATGAATATGAGTTTTCTAACTCTTGAGCTCAGGTGCTTTATATGTTCCTTAAATGAGAGACTCTGATCTATAATGATACCCAAATATTACCAAATAATTCAAATATACCAATAGAAAAAGTAAGGCATTCTTTTTCTATTGGTATACATGTGCAATCGCTAGTACAAATACAATCACTGGTCACGATGCAGAGACCAAGATTTGTAGTAAGTCTAATGGTTACCGAATACTGAATGTAATATATTTCGCCTTTCCTGAGTTTAGGGTGCGATTATAATTTAAAAGTCACATTCCCACAAGATCAAGCCCCTGTTACGCAGCAATACAAACCTCGTTCTGAAATTCACATTAAAGACAACTGATGATGATGATGATGACACATGAGAAATAAAATAAATTTAATTTTTTTATAATGTTAATTTTAATGTGCATAAATATGTAAAAGTTTATTTTATGTTTGAAAATGCATGCTATATCAATTATTTTAGAATTGAAATAAATGGCTATATTATAATTATGGCTTGTCACAACTGGTATCAACGCCCACGCGAGTCCCAGATGTGGAAAATCATGAGTCTTCACTGTTGGATCTTCTGCTGACCTCCGATCCGTACGGTTACAAAATCGCCGTTGAAGCACCACTTGGCTCCTCAGATCATTGTCTAATCCGGAGTACAGTGCAACTCACGTGCTTGCCGCGGCCGCGAGTTATAGGCTGCCGCCGTGTATGGCAACATAGGTCAGCGGACTGGGATGGGATACATTCCTTCTTTGCGTACTACCTATGGAGGCAGGTTTGTTTCTTGCCGGATGATCCCACCGTCGTTACCGATTCTGTCACTGATGTAGTGCTTCAGGGCATAGAACTATTCGTTCCTTACACATTAATTCCCATCGGTGGCAGATCCAAGTCTTGGTTTGACAGATCCTGCAAAACGACGTTTAGCCGAAAGCGGAAATGCTACCAAGCATAGGCAAATGCAGCGACGGTAAGCGATGTAAATACCAGCACGCTAAAAAAATAATACAACTTTGCCTCCAGGTCCCTTAAAGAGCTATTGCTAGGGCAAAATCGGAGCAAATCAGCCGGATAGTACAGTACTTCTGTGGCCTATTGCCCCGATTTTAATGGGATTTTTACTGGCAGATAGATAAGTTTGTAGGGCAGAATAAAACGTACATTTTTTCCCAGAAACATTTTGGGTTCTCTCGTGAAAATCGAAATACCTCTATACACATTAAAATCAGGCGAACGAAGTCGCGGGTAGCGGCTAGTTTTAAATAAAGCCGATATATCGAAATATCAATATTTAAAAAAATTTTAACTGTCCTATTCCTTAGCGGAGGTTTCAGATTGGGGCCGACTAAATCTAGTCCAGTTCAACCCAAAAAAACGCACCTCCCTAACTGCCTCAGCCATTATCGGTATCCTAGGCATCGACATATCGAACGAAGTCTAGTTTTAGGGCTACCTCGAGGGTAAAGTCAAATTGGCCTCGAAGAATAAAACATCATGTTTTGTTTAAGATTTTATTTTGCTTTAAATATAAATCGCTTCATATTATTGTACTAATTTAAAAATATAATAACAATAATTTAATCAATTGTCAACGTAGAGAGTGTTATTCAGTCATACAGAAATCGAAAGAGGTTAGAAGTCATTCAAGTTAAGATCGCGATCAACTTTAATGTTAATGTCAGTGTCAACAAAGTAGTTCGACTCAATGGGTGTCCTTTCTACCATGTCGTAATCCTTCAGCACCCAGCGGTACCATCTGGTCTTCATGTCGCAGCTTGATTTCTTGTGGAAGATCATAACATCAACAAATTTCATGTTAGGAGTAAAGAAGTTACCGACTTCAATATGGCGATCCAGGGGAAAACCAAGAGGCATCTTATCGAGAAGAACGGTAGATCTGAAGTCCACCACGAAGTCTTTGCGAGTAGTATCCAAGATGCTCGTATCTACATTATCAATCAGTTTTAATGGCGTCACACATACGTATAGAACCATATGCAAACCACCAATTCGGCCTCTAGGAAGTAAGAGTCTTGTCGGGAAACCAGTGTGGAAATTCCTTAGATCTTTGACAAACATTTCTCTCATATCAGATACAGTTTCAATTTTCTTCCAAAAGTCGCGGGTCATCATGCGGTCCTTAACAAGGTTGTGCATATCATAGGAATGCCTGACAATTGTATTCTTACCAGTAGTTAGTTTATATAGGAAGGAATCTAGTTCAACAAAGTTTTGTCTATTCCTGTTAATATCAACGACACGATCGAGGTGGTCTTTCTTTGGGCCAAGGAAAACTCTTACAACACAGTCTACTGTCTTGTCTGACAATATATCCAGAGTTACCGTAAAAGGCTGGTGGTTAAGACGGCGTTTGCGGGCCATAAAGATCATGTCAGACCTGATCTTCTTTTCTTCCTCTTCAGTCAAAGTAACAGCATTTGTCATGTCCATAAGATAGTCGTCGAAGTAGGTAACAAGCTTGTCAACCGCTACGTTATCGATCTTGACACCAGGGAAGTAGAGATCTTCCTTTGTGTAGCTAGGCAAACGCAATTTGAACAAGTGCACAAGGTCGATAATTCGTTTCTGTAGCATGTAGAACACAGGATCGCGCAGTGCTGTCTGATAATGGTCCAAAACATTTGGAGCGACGAAATATCTGTAAAAAAAAACAGTAAAAATATGCCATATTTATTTTATTTATTCTGGCGATTATAGTAAAGAAAAATCTAACTGAAAGGATATCTTGATATTTTATGACATGGAACAATATAAATAATAGACAAAATTGGGATTACTTTGTGTAGAAAAGAGATATTTAACTTACTTGTCAGAGTTAAAAGTATTCAATCCAATGGCAGCCTTCATGACAATTAACAAATACCGGTATGCACCAACGTGCGTCTTATCAGCATCGTTTTTGTCCAGATTACTGTAGATCAATTTGCCAAGCATTTCCATGTCTTCATGTTTGGTTAATTCAAGCCTCAGACCGTTAATCTGAATAAACAGTTTTATTAATTTCAGCGTCTTTCTTATAATATAATAAATACAAATTAACAAATACTTACTTCAATAAATCCTTTGATTATACAGTCTTTAATAATCCTCTCATACTCTTCACACAGACGGATGACATCAAGGTTTGTATCTCTAACAACTACGTAATTGTCAAACCTAGCAGGAAATTCGAGTCCAGTGTGCGTCGTCAACCATGGCCAGTAGCCTCGCTTGATAGTCTTGTACCAAGAAAATTCCTTAATTTCTCCTAAGCCATTAGAAAGACGCTCTAAGTAATACCTGGCTAGAATTTGTTGATACACGTACACAGTAAGTTCAAAACGTCTCGTCTTAAATTTATCCAAAACAGAGTCTCTCATCCAGAATGGATAGTCAACGTGGAAGTAATAATAGTAGGTGTTCAAGTCAATGTCTTCCGTAAAGTAACGGAGTTTATCCTCGTCATTAAAATACACACGTTTATCATAAATATTTTCATCAATGATATAGACATCCTTATCCGTTTTCTTGATTCCATAAAAGTCACACAACTTTAGGTCCAAGAGGCCCCTCTTCATTTTAAGAAGGTATGCCTTTTGAATGACATCTGCACGCACAAAGTAGTAGGGGTAGATCTCATAAGGAGGAGGCAGGACAATGCCTTTGCAGTCTTCACGATGTCTGACTGCCACGGTAAGAGCATACACAAACATTCCTTCATTGAGGTAAAGTCGCATCCAACACGCTGTCTTAAGGAAGGTGTTGAAATCCTTGGCGTAATATAGCATGTGGAACATGCTAACAACTTCTTTTAACTGACGGTCAACATGAATCGTGAAAATTTCACCCCGAGGCAGAAAACCAACGTTAAGCATTTTAATGAATTCTGTTACAACATCACGTTTCTGGAATAAATGGTTGGGCTTAGTAAATTTTAAATTTCAAAATGAACAGTCATTTTAGTTTAGATATATATATAGCTCAACTTACAGTGTACGATTCGATGCTATCCTCAATTTTAAAGTTTTTGCCCATGTCCTCAAGGTCTTTGTACATAAGTCGCTCTGTGACGTGGTTCAACAGTTTCAAGATAACCGTTTGCTTCTGCTTAATGTCCATTGTAACTGTGACAGACGTAAGTTATGCAGTAACGATCGTGAAATATTAAAAAAATATATACTTTGTGTAAACTTACGAAAAACACATGATTAATATAATACTCATTTCATATAAAGTAGAGCAATAATCATCTCTGTACTTAATAAAAGATTAAAAATGAAGATAAGAACAATTGTTGTGACCTAATATTATAGTGTCACATTTATGTCACGAAATATTAGTTTAAATACAAATCAGCCCACAAACTATAAAATAGCCTTGCAGAAAAATATTAACAAGATGAATAATATATTATGAAAAAGAAACATTTATAGACTCACCCATTGTGTTGTCATCGATTTCCCTTGCCATGGCCGCGCCGGCCAGGCAAACTACAAGCAAAAGGACAGCTCTCATCGTGGCGTCGATCCGGTTTTAGATCAACTGTGATTCCTCCTTCATTTCTGCCCCCTTTTATACAAAATATTAATTGCGATAGTTAATATGTTTATACTTGAAAAGAAAGGGCATTAAATTAATGCAAAAGTGCATCATTATTACATTGTAATAAACAGAGGTAAAGATAACAAATATGTAAATGTAACATGATGGATAAATAATTATCTACCCTAGTATTATTTTTATTTAATCAAGTTGCCAGCTAATATTTTTTTCCATTTAACCGTGTGATGACGGATTATGAATACGGAATTTCACCACCCCTTCACATCCCGTGGGAGTCGTAAGAGCCGACTAAGAGAGCAAAACACGCAGGGCAACAGCACTGCAAAGAAAAGGAAAACTTGAAACAAACCCTTTTTTTTTTTTTTTTTTTTTTTTTAACGTGTGGAAATCCCCTCGGACCGTCACCCCTCCGGGGTTTGCGGCGGGGTGGTGTGTCGGACTCGGACCGACTAAAACCACACGGTGTGCCACTCTGCGCCTGTAACAGGAGGGATCCGGGAACAGCTGTTGTTAAGACATCCGGACCCCTCCTAGCGCCAGCCCGCTCCTGGTGCGGGCTCCGTCTCAATGTGGATGTTCCTCTCTTTAGGCGACGTCCGGCACACGCGGACGCCGCCCCCTCGCGGCTGGCCAACTAATGCGGGTGGAGGGGAAACCCACCCCGTCCACCCGCGGCCACACTCAGGGCGGCATGAGGCTGTGGTAGGCGGGCCTCCGCCGCCCGGTTCGCCGGCGGCGGATCGGGTCCGAGTGGAGGTCGTCCTCCCGGGCCCTTTCCGCCGCCTCCTTCCGCGAGATTACTACCTCGCAGAAGGTTGCGACCGCGGTAAAACAACTGTCGCTACCGGCCATGGAGCGTACTACGGCCGGTAGCGAGAGATCCACTCCGATGACTGCAGTGAGGGCCCGGCGCTGCGCCGCCCATGCGGGGCAGACCGCCAGCGTGTGCTGGGCCGAGTCCTCACTGCAGTCGCAGTGGTGGCAAGGCGGGACTCAGTTCCCTCCTAGCGACCGTGTGCAGGTACTTTCCGAAGCAACCGTGCCCGGAAAGCACCTGCGTCAGTCGGAAGGAAAGGGTCCCGTGCTGCCGCCCTGCCCACTCGGCGATGACCGGCTGGAGAGCCTCCACGGCGGCGAAGCCAGCGCGTGGAGTCTCCAGCCGGAACGACCAACGAGCCATCGTGGCTCGGCGAGCGGCTTCGCGCCACTCGCGCACATCCTCGGGCGGAGGGCGAAATCCGCTCTCCGCCCGGTAGTCAGCCACTCGCCGATAAACTTCGGCGAGCACTTCCGCCTCCAAATCCCACGGGGGAGTTCCGGCCAACGCGCACGCCACATCCGTCGAAACGGTGCGGTAACCGCGTATGGCTCTGACCGCCATTACCCTCTGAGGGCGCCAGAGGCGTACCCTATTCTGGGCGGTCAGAGCCGCCGCCCACACCGGTGCACCGTACAGTGCCATTGACCGGACAACCCCCGTGTACAGCCGTCTTGTCGCGACGCTGGGTCCACCCATATTGGGCAAAAGTCGCCCTAGGGCAGACGCAGCGCCGACCAGCTTTGGAGCAAGCTGTCGGAAGTGCTCGTCGAAGAGCCACCTCCCGTCGAGGATCAGGCCCAGATATTTCATCTGGGCCCGAACCGGTACGAGGACCGAGTTGACCACGATTGAGGCGCCAGGGGGTGGACCACGACGGGGCCCATGGAATAACAGGGCCTCCGTCTTATCTAGGGCCACCCGTAAGCCCAGCGCCTCAATGCGCCCGACCACCAGGGAGACTCCCCCTGTGGCCAGGCGCGCCGCCTCTTGGAAGTTTGCCCCCCGGGCTGTCACGAGGGTATCGTCTGCGTAACAGATTACACCCAGCCCGGGGGGGAAATCGGCGCGAAGGGCCCAGTCGTACCCTATGTTCCACAAGAGGGGTCCAAGAACAGACCCCTGTGGAACACCGCACGACATGGGCCGACACCTCAGATAACCTTCTCGGTCCTCGTACACGACGGTACGCTCCTCTAAATAGTCTGCCACCAGCCGCCTCAGGTACTTTGGCACCCCATGATAGTGGAGTGCTTCCCTGATGCAGCTGAATGGCAGACTATTGAATGCGTTGGCGATGTCCAGTGACACCGCCAACAGCACGCCGCCACAGCTCACGGCCTCTTCGGTCACGGCCCTCAGGCGCAACACGGCGTCGACTGTCGAACGCCCCGCCCGAAAACCAAACTGGGCGTCCGACAGATCGGGGCCCACCTCGCAGAGGTGCCGGACGATGCGGGCAGAAAGAACCCTCTCAAACAATTTGCCCGCCTCGTCCAGCAGCACGATGGGCCTATAGGCCGCGACCGAATCGGCTGGCCGTCCCGGCTTCCTCAATAGGACCAGCTTCCCGCTTTTCCAGCACTCAGGGAAGCGTCCCGACGCCAAGCTAGCGTCGAACACCTCCCCGAGGCGGTCTGCCATGTGGTTGAGGGCCAGGGCCAGCACTCGGGCCGGTACACCGTCTGGCCCAGGGGCGGTGTTCTTGGAACGGATCCGTAGAACAGCCGCCCCTACCTCCGAATCCCGGACGGGCGGAACATTGTCCTCCCCGTGCTCCCCGTCGTCTCCGGCCAGGGAGGCCATCGACGGGGGAGTGTGTTCCGCTCGTTGTGGGAAAAGGCCCTCAACCACTTCTCGCAGGAAGCTGGGCTGGAGAGTCTCCGTAAGGGGGGGGCCCGACGCGCGGAGCTTTTGTCGCACCGCGCGGTAAGGGCGACCCCAGGGGTCACGATTAAGACCCTCCAGCATCTCCTGTCTTTTTTCTTCTTTGGCGCGGCTAATGGCCAGCTTCAGAGTTTTCCGCGCCCGTCGGTACTCCTCATGAAGCCCGTCCTCCTCACCGTCTCCGCGGTGACGCCGCCGACTGCGCGTGTAGGACCTCCGGGCACGTGTACAGGCCGCACGGAGGTCCGCCAGCTCCTGGGACCACCAGTAGACCTCCTTCCTTGGAGGCCGACGACCTCGAACGCGGGGCATGGCCGCATCGCATACATGCGTAATCGCATCGCGAAAGCGGCCAGCCCCCACGTCGACCTCCTCGGTCGGAGCCTGAGGAGACAGCCACGAGTGAATTATGGCTGCCTCCTCTAGTAGGTCCCGGTTCAGCCTGGCAACAGCCCACCGCGGAAAGCGGGATAAACGCCGCGCCACGTGACCCCTACTGGAGTCCTGGGTCCGGGAGAGCTCAAATCGGATATACAGATGATCCGAGAGCGTCTCAACCTCTTCCAGGACACGCCAGTTCCTTACTCGTGCGGCGAGGGCAGGGGTAGCGAACGAGAGGTCCACTATCGACCCCCCCTGCTGTCGCACGCACGTGTTGGTGGAGCCTCTGTTTAGAAGACAGAGGCCCACCGAGGCCGCCCACTCCTCTACGGCCTCGCCCCTGGCGTCCGTCCTGGGGGAACCCCACGCAATGGACTTTGCGTTGAAGTCCCCCAGCACAAGGACGTGCCCAGACGCTAGTCGCCGTATCGAGGTCTCCAAGCTGATTAGGAAAACCTCGAAGTCGTTCAAACTCCGGTTGGGGGAGAAATAGACACCATATATGGTGATCCCCCCCCACTCGACGGCAACATATCCAGTGCCCTTGTCTCTTAGCGACAAGGGCGGGGAATGAGCCGTCGTGGAACCGACGACTGCCACGGAGCCGTCCCAGTCACCCATCCAGTTTGGACGGGGAGGGACAGAATAGGGCTCCGCGACTACGGCAACACCTATCGACCACTGTGCCATGGTTTGCAGGAAGAGATCCTGCGCCGCGGCACAGTGGTTCAGGTTCGTCTGGACCAGGAGGTTGGAGACTTGATCCATTACTGGATCGTCTCTACAACCTCCTCCATGGGCGACGACGTCGACGCACGAACTACATCGGAGGCAGCCTGGGTCGACTGGCTAACCCCCGACGTCTGCCGAGAACTGCGGGGAGGCTTGCAGCCTCTCTGCCCCATCTGGTGATTGGCGGGCTTATTGCCCGCCGCACACACTGGGCAGTGAGGGGCGGCAGAGCATTCTGCCGCCTTATGCCCCGGTTGACCGCAGCGGAAACACAGTCCGCCGCAGTCAAAACAACTGTCACACTTGACGCGCGTGTGTCCCGCGGCCAGGCATTTGAAACACCTCATCGGTCTCGCCGCCAGGACTGTGATCCTGGCGCTCACGAAACCGATGAGCAGCCTGCCGGCGTCGGCCAATACTTTGGCCGACGCTACGGGACAGCTGACCCACACGGCGCCAAGCCCTCCTGGACCGGGGCGGATGGTGCCGACCCTGACGTTGTCCGCGCTGCACCCCGTCTTCTCCCGGATTACAGCGCGGACATCTTCGGCCGTCACTGAGTCGTCCAGGCCCGAGATGCGCAGTTCCGCGCACTTGGTAGGCCTGGCGACCCTGACACCATCTGTGGCTGCAAATATTCCCCGCAGCTTCTCAGCGAAGGAGTCCGCCGTCTTTGCGCCTTCAGCCCCAGGGAACTCGAGAACTCGAGCTCCCGTCTGGGCGAGGCGCATCCTGACCCCCACCGTTCCGAAGTCGTTGGCGAGGCTGTCCCGGGCCTTTTTGAAGACGGCCGCGTAGGACAGCCCGCCGTCCGCCGCCTCCGGGGACACGGTCACCACTACAGCCGCGATTTTGGGCGGCTGCAGCTTCCGCGGCCTCTTTGTGGAGGCCGTTGCCACCGGTGGCGAAGGCTGGGCCTGGGCTGCTTTTTTGGCAGCCTTTTTGGCCCGCCTTCGGGACTTCTTGGAGCCCCTCGCCTCCTGCCAACCCTCGTTGGAGGGGGCAGGTGCGGAGGGGCCCGGCAGGGGTGTCGGAGTGGGGAGCGGAGGGAATGCCACTCCGCTCCTCGGCGCCGTTTTAGGCCCCGTCTTGGCCGGCGCCTGGGGATGTGCCTTGGCCGGCGCCTTAGCCGGTG